TGGCACTGCTTAAAACAGAACAAACACGCGAAGCCGTAAAAACGGTAGTCAGTTTCCCACCTGCAGAGCTCCTGCGCAAATCAAACGGCCCTGCAGGTAACAAATTTATTGGGGAGGCGCGGTGGATATTTTAATTTCCACAAGTCGTTTGCCACGGTGAACCCCGTTGGCACACCCGGACTCTTGTCTCTAAAAAACTGAACAAAAGTAACAGTGATCATAAATAATGGCAAACGGTGTCCACATTCTCAGATCCACGAATACATAGTGGTTGACTTAATGGAACCTGTAACAGCTGGGTAGGTACCTCAGGAGGGCCGTATCTGAAATCTCAGTGGCTGATGCATCCAGAGCATCTTACGTCCAGGAATAATATCCTAGGCTTGACTTCATAGAACAGAATCACAGAGTCAGAAGGTCCCATAGAGGTCATCTAGTCCAGCCCCCTGCTCAGTGCAGGATCAGCCTAGAGCAGTGGTGGCGAACCTATGGCACGGGTGCCAGAGGTGGCACTCAGAGCCCTCTCTGTGGGCACGCCTGCCATCGCCCCAGCCAGGCCCAAACCATCATTAAAGTGTCGCATTCTCTGCCAAATCATTTTAAGTAAATGAAAGCATTTGAGATTGCTTTCCTTACTTTGTTTGGATCATCTTAAGTTAATGTATGGGTTGTTTTTTCTAAAGTAAAACCTCCGTATCCAGGTTAAATTGCCGTGTTGGCACTTTGCGATCAATAAGTGGGTTTTGGGTCGCAGTTTGGGCACTCGGTCTCTAAAAGGTTCGCCATCACTGGCCTAGAGCATCCCTGACAAGGGTTCGTCCAGCCGCTGCTTGAAGGCGGCCAGGGAGGGGGAGCTCACCACCTCCCCAGGCAGCCAATTCCACTCTTGAACAACTCTGACTGTAAAAAATTTTTCCCGGAGATCCAGTTTTTCCTAATACACATTTTTTAAAATAACTGTTTATGAAATTTCAAACGTCATCGTAATACATTAAGTACAGAGAGATAACATTAAATTTTCGAGTGATGGGGCCGGATGCCATAATCTTAGTTTTTTTTGATGTTGAGCTTCAAGCCCAGTTTTGCGCTCTCCTCTTTTACTCTAAGCAGGAGGCTCTTTAGGTCCTCTTCACTTTCTGCCATTAGAGTGGTATCGTCTGCATATCTGAGGTTGTTGATCTTTTCCTAGTGCTCTAGTAAAAGCCTTTCTATATTTAGGATTACTTAGATTAACAAAAGGCGAAGACAATATCCAAGGTGGGTGGAATAGCTGTTTATAAATCCCAGAGATTTTTAAGTCACCTGTCCTACCCATATCAGCTTGCACCTACCGACCTAGCAGTCTTTGCTTGATAAGAGATTTAGCAGTATGAAATCCAAGAGATCTTAAATAGTCATCTGAGAAACCAAGATTGGCCGCTCTCCTCAGATAACAAAACCACACCAAGACCTATCCTTCGTGTCCCCATATGCCGAAGTTAATAGTTCAGAAGCCGTATGGAAAACAGTCTTCAGCCAAAAATGGATGGTTATTTCATAAACTTAAGGTTGTCATCCGGGGTGAAGATAATTCCATTCCTGTCATCGCAGAGGGTATTGAAGGCGGGACAACACGACGCCTACGCGTAAACTTGTTTTGGGAGATTTCCAAAGAATGGAATTCTCCAAGGCCCATCCTGTGTACCATATAAAAGCTGAGGTAATAGCTGCATAGCTATTACACCAGGGGTGACCAAACTCGCTTAATGTAAGAGCCACATAGAATAAACGTCAGACGTTTGAGAGCCTCAAGACATGAACAAATATCACACACACGTTTTGATTGGGAAATATGCAGATTTGTTTTTTTATCAACATTAAACGAGACTGCGAAGAATAAAAACAAAAGGGGTAAAAAGAGATATTGATAACGATATTTATATGTCCAGTAACACTTGTTTGCTAATGATATTTATTTGTCAGAGAGAGAGATGGAAAGAAAGAATGAAAGAGGTGGAAAGAAAGAGAGAAGGAGAAAGCGAGAGAGACAAAATAAATCAAATAGGTGGGGGAGGGTGGAGGGAGGAAGGAAGAGAGAGAGAAAGGAAAGAAGGGAAGAAGAGAGAAAAAGAGAAGGAAAGAAAGGAAATAGATGGGGGAGGAGGAAGGAAGAGAGAGAGAAAGGAAGGAAGGGAAGAAAAGAGAAAAAGAGAAGGAAAGAAAGGAAATAGATGGGGGAGGAGGGGAGGGGGAAAGAGAGAGAGAAACAAAAGAAAGCAAATAGATGGGGAGGGAGGGGAACACTGGGGAAGGGAAGACCCCTTCAGTTCCTCAGCTGCCGTGCCGGGAGCCACACAATATGTGTGAAAGAGGGTTGGACTGGATGGGCCTTTGGCCTGATCCAACATTGGCGTCTCTTATGTTTAAAGAGCCGCATGTGGCTCCCGAGCCGCAGTTTGGCCACCCCTATATTACACCCCTACGTTCAGCCCGCCGAAATCTACGATGACTATGATAACCCTCCCTCAGCACCTGCAAGCTGGCTGGTGCAGTATCTGGCCCTGTGTCCAGCGCTCAAGGTCAAGCATGCATTCTTCTCACAGTGGAGAGGCCCCCGAATGGACGCAGTTCCAAGCTAGGGCAACTCTCGGCAAAGCGGCTCCACGCACCCACTCATACACTCCCCCCGATTCCCAGCAAAGAAATGAAACGTGGCACTGAGTTCCAGACAGTACAGCAAACGGAGGAAAATTACACGGCAAACGAGGCCTGAGTTTGACAGCTCCCCCTCCCTGGCAGTCTAGAAGCAGGGGTGCTCTGGGCCAGGGGTGTCATGGAATCATAGAACGATAGAGTTGGAAGGGACCTTGCAGATCATCTAGTCCAACCCCCTGCACTCTGCAGGAGCAGAGCCGAAAGATAGCCCTGCAACATACCCGAAAGATGGTCGTCCAGCCTCTGCTTGAAAACGTCCAGCGAAGGAGCATCCGCCATCTCCCGAGGCAGACTGTTCCACTGCTCAACCACTCTTACAGTTAGGGAGTTTCTCCTGATATTTAGCCGGTATCGACTCCCTGGTAATTTCCACCCATGTGTCAAACTCATTTGTTATGGAGGGCCGTATTTGACATCAGTTGGACTTTGTCGGGCCGGGCCATGTGTGCCATAAAATGTAATGCCAGGGAGCGGAGATATAAACTTGATAGAGGACACAAACACAAAGGTTTGGGGTTTTTTTTTAACTTAGAATAAAAACATGCCCGAAACATTAGCAGTCTTGCAATATTTTGTTTATTTAACAGTCTCTGATAACTGACACTTCTTTGCTCTGAATTATTGCATCAAAATGTCTGTGCTGTTGCCCCAGCCCAGTGCAGGGAGCAGAAGCTTGTCTATCTATCTCTCCTGAGCAATTGAGAGAGTCTGGGAAAGAAAGCTATGGCGCAGCAGCAGAACTGGAGGAAGAAGCAGGAGACAGCCAGATCCTTGCGGTCCTGATAGAAGCCCTCCGGGGGCCTGATCTGGCTCCTGGGCCACATGTTTGACACCCTTGCTCTAGGCTGATCCTGCACTGAGTAGGGGGTTAGACTAGATGGCCTGTATGGCCCCTTCCAACTCGGCGATTCTATGATTCTGGCCAGTCACACAGTCTCGGCCTAACCTACCTCACAGGGTTGTTGTGAGGATAAAATGGAGGAAAGTCGAACCCATGTAAGGTGTTTTGGGTCCCCACTAGGAAGGATGCCCTGAGCTGAATGGCCCAGGCTCGCCCGATCTCATCAGATCTCGGAAGCGAAGCTAGATCAGCCCTGGTCAGGATTTGGATGGGAGACCACGGAGGAATGCCAGGGTTGTGATGTGGAGGCAGGCAGTGTCAGTTTGGCAAAGCAACTCCGACCGTCTGTTGCCTTGAAAACCCTGTGGGGTTGCCATAAATCAGCTGTGACTTGACAGCAAAATAAAAAATTGGGGAGAAAGGCGGGACAGACTTGATGTTTCTCCCTTCCCATTTCCCTTTTCAAGTGCCTTCCAGTTTATGGGAATAGACCTGTCCCAAATGCCCTGTCAAGCTTCCCTCCCCAGCAGCGGTGGCGGCAAGGCCAGCCCACCAAGCCTTCTCCCGCCCCCCGTACCCTGTGGCGGTGGCAGCAGTGAAGCCTTCTCAGAGCGTTCCCTGTGCATGTGCAGGGAACGCTCCTTTACTTTTGGGGGGATTTAAGTATCCCTCCTATAGTTTTTTTTACAGTTTTTAGTTTTTTCTGCACATCTGGGGATTGCCCCAAATGTGCAGGAAAATCTCCCTGCCCCCCAGGTGCCCCCAATGTACGGATTTAGATATCCGCACGCGGGGGGCGCCTTGGCTTTTAGATATATAGATTAAGGGCGGGAAGGTACCAGTTGGATCTTAGGAAAATCTGTTTTGACAGTCAGAGTTGTGCAGCAGTGAAATTGGCTGCCTGGGGAGGTGGTGAGCTCCCCCTCCTCCCTGGCTGTCTTCAAGCAGCGGCTGGAGAAACCTTTGTCCGGGACGCCCTAGGCCAGTGATGGCGAACCTTGTAGAGACCGAGTGCCCAAACTGCGACCCAAAACCCACTTATTGATGGCAAAGTGCCAACACGGCAATTTAACCTGGATACGGAGGTTTTACTTTAGAAAAAACAACTCCTACATTAACTTAAGAGGATCCAAACATAGTAAGGAAAGCAATCCCAAATGCTTTCATTTACTTAAAATTATTTGGCAGAGAATTCGACACTTGAATGATGGTCTGGGCCTGGCTGGGGCGATGGCACACGTGCCCACAGAGAGGGCTCTGAGTGCCACCTCTGGCACTCGTGACATAGGTTCGCCACCGCTGCTCTAGGCTGATCCTGCACTGAGTAAGGGGTTGGAGTAGATGGCTTGTAGGACCTCTTTCAACTCTGTGATTCTAGGATTCTCTCTGTTGCAAGGATATTACAAGAAATATGTGTGCATAATTTGGTGTTTTTTGTGTCTCTCTCTCTCCCCAACAAATGCAGGGAATTTCCAGGATGTGGGAACTTAATCACCTCTGCCCAGTTCTTATTCATAGCCATCGAGGGCTTCATCTTCGAAGCCGACTTTGGAAGGAAACGGCCTGCTATACCAATCAGGTATTGTAGATCGAAACACAGGGGTACCCCTGCCTTTTTTTGAGCCTGTGGACACTTTTGGAATCCTGACACAGACCATCGGTCACAATCACCAAATGGCTGTCACAGGAGGAGGAGCAAATCGCAAAATGGCTGCCACGGGAGGCACAGCCAACCACAAGATGTCAGGGAGGGAGGTGACGTGTAAGTCTAATACAGGGGTGGCCAAAATGTGGCTCGGGAGCCACATGCGGCTCTTTCACACATATTGTGCGGCTCCCGGCAGGCTCCCCATCTATTTTCTTTCTTTGCTTCTTTTTCTCTCTCTCTTTCTTTCTCCCTCCCACTCCTTCCCCCCATCTATCTGCTTTCTTTGTTTCTCTCTCTCCCCCCTTCCTTGCTCCCCCCCATCTATTTGCTTTCTTTCCACCTTTTTCTCTTTTTCACCCTTCCCCCATCTATCTCCTTTTTTGTTTCTCTCTCTCTTTCCACCTCTCTCTTAGACAAATAAATACCATTAGCAAATAAATATCAAATAAATATCATTATCTCTCTCATTATCATTATTTCTCTCTCTCCCCCCCTTCCTTGCTCCCTCCCCCATCTATTTGCTTTCTTTCCACCTTTTTCTCTTTTTGTCTCTTTTCTTCCTTCTCCCATCTATCTCCTTTTTTGTTTCTTTCTCTCTCTTTCCACCTCTCTCTTAGACAAATAAATACCATTAGCAAATAAATATCAAATAAATATCATTATCTCTCTCATTATCATTATTTCTCTCTCTCCCCCCCTCCTTGCTCCCTCCCCCATCTATTTGCTTTCTTTCCACCTTTTTCTTTTTTTCTCTCTTTTCTTCCTTCCCCCATCTATTTCCTTTTTTATTTCTTTCTCTCTGTCTCTCTCTCTCTCTTTCCACCTCTCTCTTAGACAAATAAATATCATTGAACAAATAAATATCATGATCAATATCTGTTTTTACCCCTTTTGTTTTTATTTTTGGCAGTCTTGTTTGATATTAATAAAAAGCAAGTTTGCATATTTTCCAATAAAAACGTGTGTGTAATCGCAGAATCATAACGTTGGAAGGGACCTCCAGGGTCATCTAGTCCAACCCCAGTATTACAAGACATATAATATTTGTTCATGTGTTGCAGGCTCTCAAACATCTGACGTTTATTCTGTGTGGCTCTTACACTGAGCAAGTTTGGTGTCCCCCCCCCCCCGCTCTAATAGTACCTCTTCAACATTTCAGGCACAAGATCTGTTTAACACGATGTCTTTTCATCTGCAAAGCCAGTCAGAAGCCCTGCTAGGCAAAATTCCTGCCTAGCCCTACCTACTTTCTAAAAGCACTTGGCGGGTACCAGGAAAGATGTCAGTGGGCATCATGGTGCCCGTAGGCACCATACTTGCAATGTCTTGCTTTCGAACTGCTAGGTTGTCTAAAATATCCATCTATAAAAAAACCCTTTTCCTTTCCTCCACACCCTGGATCCAAATTCGCAGGCCAATCCCTTGTATTTGCGTTCCAGGTACTACCTGGTCATGGTGGCCATGTTCTTCACAGTCAGCGTGGTGAACAACTACGCCCTCAACCTGAACATTGCAATGCCGCTGCACATGATATTTAGATCGGTGAGTCCCATCCTTTTACGCGAGGGTCGCCAAGCGGTGCCTGGCAACCAGCGGGAGGGTTGCGGCGGGGTGGGTGGGTAGGGGGGCAGCCCGGGATTAAAATCAAAAAGAAAAACAAGGCCTTGGCTACTTAACAGGAAGTTCTGACCATAGATTCCTAGCACTATCCAAAAGTGACAAGGGTGGCGCTAGCAACCGCCAGAAACTCTGTGGTAAGATTACCATAGAGTTTCTGGGGATGGCTAAAACTGCCCCTCGTCACTTCCTGGTAGCTCTAGGAAACATCACGAACTCTGTGGTCAGAACTTCCTGTGAGTAGTTGAGGCCTTATTTTTCTTTTTACATTTTTCTCCTGATCTCACCCCCCCTTTGGTCCCAGTTTCCACTCTCTGGTCAGCTGAGCATTGGCAGGCAAGAGCCACAGCTCCTTGGTGGTCTCCCACCAGAAGAGGGAAATGTGAACCGTATTTTATGCAATAATAAATCATTATCGTATGGCATTGTGTGTAGTGTAGCCAGGAGATCCTAAGATTGTCCGGCAGCAGAAGTTCTAGATCTTTTAGCGTTCTGCACCACTAGGTGTCGAGCTAGACTTGTGTTTTCTTTAAGGCAAGAGACGTTTCAAAGGTGGTTTGCCCTTGCCTCCCTCTGCATCACAACCCTGGTATTCCTTGGATGTCGCTCTTCCAAATACTAGCCAAGGCCGACCCTACTTAGCTTCCGGGATCTGACAGGATCGGGATAACCTGGGCTATCCAGGTCGGGGCTATTTTACGCATGTTTACTGGAGCATCTGAATTTCTTGGTGCGGTCAGACTACAGTCCAACTAGTTCAGCATATTCGCCCAACAGGAGCTGGCAAAGTGTGGCTTCATGGGTGGGGCATGAAGGTGAAGACCTTAGAATCATAGGATCCTAGAATCCCAGAACTGGAAGGCGGCCCTAGAGGCCATCTAGTCCACCCCCCTGCTCAGTGCAGGATCAGCTGAGAGCATCCCTGACGAGTGTCTGTCGAGCCGCTGCTTAAGGGCGGCCAGTTCCAAGGACCTGGGAGGCCTCTCTCTATTGAGCAGGCTTTTTGCTGATTATGAAACGGGACACCAACTTTGCATTGGCTTCTTTCTCTGCCTCTCAGGGGTCTTTGATCGCAAGCATGGCGCTGGGCATCATTATTTTGAAGAAAAGGTAAGCGGTGTTTGCTGGCTTTGCGGCATCCTCCTTATAAACCACTTTAAATCATTATCCGGCAGAGCGGCATGTTGCTAGGATTGCCCCACAGTCACACGCGAGACACACTTTGACCAAATTAAAGCGCTGTGTAAAATATAAGGGGTGGTGCGGTGGAGTGGTTAGAGCTAGAGATGTGAAGGCCCGGGGAAAACCCGGAAAAATTTGGGGGGGGGTTTCCCCCGTTTTTTTCCTGAAGCCTTTTTTGTTTTTTCCCCAAAAGTTGGAAAAATTGAAAAAAGAAAAGAAAATGAAAAAAAAATGATTATGGAACGTTTTATTTTAACATGATGAATAAAATATTTTAAGACAAGGTGTTCAAATATTTTCCAGATCATTTCTAAAAAATATGTATGGTATTAGATTGATCTAATTTCTGTGCACTGAGGACAAGCAAGTCCTAGGTTACAAACTGACCTCTCCAATGCAAGAACAAGATGCATTTCTTCCTTTAGGAGGTGCTATTGTCACAAGAAAAGAAAAAAGGTTTCAGTTTTGTTTTTGCATGTGGGTGGGTATTCTGTTTGTAATAATTGTTTGGACACACTATATTTTTTAATGTGCTAGTTGTGATAATTTCATGCCAAGTAAAAATGTCCATAGTCATGTTTTATGTTCCTAAAGTAACAGAATGACTTTCAATCTGGAAAAGAATAGAACACCAGGCTAGGAACTGGATCAACAGTGGCTGCAAAATGAACGGACAAGAATCCACCTGCTGTTGAGCAATGGCAAAGTAGACTCTGGGATCAGTTTCTCATGAGTAAAAGTTGCCCATACAACTTCTAAGTCATCCCCAGATCTTTATGAATCTAAATTGATGACAACTTGATATCCTCGTTTAAGCTATATGTGGTGGGAAATGACATAATTTCTAAAGATCCTCAATATGGAACTATGTGATATTTTTGAAATTTGGTTAAAGTTTATTATAAGATTTATTTTATTTTATTTATTTATTTTTTAAATGTATATTCTGCATCTCCCCACCGAGGCAGGCTCAGGGCGACTTACTCGTTACTTTAGTGAGTTGTTGTGTGTTCTGGTGAACATTTCATAACTATTATATTATTACACAATATGGTAAAGTACTATATTATGTTGGAAAATAATAAAATATATACACTAAAAAGGGGGGGGAATGGCTGGGTTTGACTCCCTCGCTCTCCCTCGGAATCCTTCCAGGGGACTTTGGGCCCATCGCAGTCTCTCGGCCTAACGTACCTCACGAGGTTGTTGTGAGGATTAAGTAGAGGAGGAGGAGGAGACTGGATTTATACCCCGCCCTTCACTACCTGAAGGAGTCTCAGAGCAGCTCCTGATCTCCATTCCCTTCCCTTCCCCACAACAGACACCCTGTGAGGGAGGCGGGGCTGAGAGAGCTCTTTCGAGGACTGCTCCTGAGAGAACAGCTCTGAGGGAACTTGTGACTGACCCAAGGTCACACCGGCAGCTGCATGTGGAGGAGTGGGGAATCATTAGAAGATGAGAGTCTGCGCTCTTAGAAAAGCAGGATATAAATAAAGGAAAACCAAAATAGTAAATAAGCAAAATATTATGTTGAGCATATGTTCCTGAAAACCATGAAGACTATAATCACAGAGCGGGAAGGGGCCATAGAGGCCATCTAGTCCAACCCCCTGTTCAGTGCAAGATCAGCCTAGAGCATCTGGATTTGATTCCCCACTCCTCCACATGCGGCTGCTGGTGTGACTTTGGGTCAGTCACAGTTCTCTCAGAGCTCTCTCAGCCCCGCCTACCACACAAGGTTGTCTGTGGTGGGGAGGGGAAGGGAAGGGAGATGGTCAGCCGCTCTGAGACTCCTTTGGGTAGTGAAGGGCGGGGTATAAATCCAATCTCTTCTTCTTCAAAAGATATTGTGTCGCTCTCTTCACGCAGGTATAGCGTCTACAAATACGCCTCCATAGCCCTCGTGTCGTTGGGCATCTTCACCTGCACCTTCATGTCTGCAAGGCAAGTGGTAAGGAATTCTGCCTCCCCCCCCTTCCCCCAAGATCTCAGCTGCCGATCGAAGACCGAGCCCCTCTCCCTCTGTGGGCGTGCAGAGCTTGAATTCACCAGGATAGTTTGGGGAAGGCAGCCCTGTTGGTCTGCCATAGAAGAGCTGGGTTCGAATCCAGTAGCAGCTGAACAACCAACCAGCTTTTCAAGGTATCAGCTGTCAAGAGTCAAAGCTCATACCCCCCCCCCTGAGATCTTGAAAACATAAGACACCTTAGAGTGGGAAGGGAGCTCCAGGGTCATCTAGTCTAACCCCCTGCACGATGCAGGGAATTCACAGGTACCTCCTCCCACTCATGATAAAAGGTTTCCCCTTGCTCGAAAGCCAGTCAAACTCGACTCTAGGGGGCGGTGCTCATCTCCGTTTCCAAGCCGAAGAGCCAGCGCTGTCCGAAGACTTTTTCCGTGGTCATGTGGCCGACATGACTAGACGCCAAGGCGTGTGGAACGCTGTGACCTTCCCACCGAAGCGGTACCTAAAGGCACCCCCGTGAGTTACAAGCAGGCCCATAGCTACAGTAGGACATCTCGGGGCTAGGCCCCCTGACGTGCTGGCAAGGCCCCCCCTGACTTCCCATCCATCCCAGGTCATCTGACCTTCTCCCCCAGATTAATTTGATTAGCCAGTGCCTCCTAAGAGAACTAAATGCCCCCTGGCTTAAAAAACCCCTGACTACGGGCCTGGTTACAAGAGACACAAAGTCAGTCCTTTGAGAAGGTGGGCTTCTATATGAGGGGCGACACGATCGAGGTCTACAAAATTATGCACGGGATAGAGAAGGCAGAGGAAGAAGTCCTTTCCTCCCTCGCTCACAAGACGAGAACTCGTGGGTGCTCCATGAAATTAAGGAGCGGTAGGCTTAGAACCGATAAAAGGACGTCCTTCCCCCAAGAAGTCATTCACACGTGGAATTCCCTGCCGTAGGACAACTTCATAGACATAGATAGTTTCAAGAGGGGACTGGATAAACATCTGGAGCAGAGGTCCCTCAGTGGTTATTAGCCACAAGGTATAGATGGAAGCAGTGTTCCCTCTAAGCTGAGTGAGTGTGAGCTAGCTCACAGTTTTTTAGCCTCCGGCTCACACGTTTTTGTCTTAGCTCAGGAAAGATGGCTCCAGAGCAAACTAATGTATGCAGCAGCCCGATTGCTCGCTCACAACTTTAATGCCGGTAGCTCACAAAGTAGAATTTTTGCTCACAAGACTCCACAGCTTAGAAGGAGCATTGGATGGAACGCTCTGTCTGGGGCAGTGATGTTCTGTCTTCTTGGTGCTTGGGGGGCAACAGTGGGAAATGTATCTGAAACTCTTTGTAAAATGAGGGGGGGGGTTGTTGTTGTTTTGGGGGCGGGCAGGCAGCTTTTTGTGTTTTTAGTTGGGGGCTTTTTTGTTTTGTTTTTGTTCCTGAACCAAAATAACAAACAGTCTTGTAGGTCTGATCCTGGCTTTTAAATAACTGCTTGCCTGGTCCCTTGTAGGGAGGGTCGCCTACCTCCTGCCATTACAGTTGATCTTCGGGCAACCATGATCAGCCCCCCTGGAGAAAATGGCTGCTTTGGAAGGTGGACTGTGTGGCATTATACCATACTGAGGAGCTGCGGTGGCTCAAGTGGTTAAGACGCTGTACTGCCGGCTGTGGAAGGTCGGTCGTTCAGCAGTTCGAGACCCAAGCTGCCGCGTGACGGAGTGAGCTCCCGTCTCTAGTTCCAGCTCCTGCCAGCCTCGCAGTTCGAAAGCAAGAAATTGCGAGTAGACAAATAGGTACCGCTTCGGTGGAAAGGTAACAGCTTTCCGTGCGCCTTGGTGTTTAGTCATGCCGGCCACATGACCACGGAAACGTCTTCGGACAGCGCTGGCTCTTCGGTGTGGAAACGGAGATGAGCACCGCAACCCTAGAGTTGGACTCGACTGGCTTTCGAGCAAGGGAACCTTTACCTTTACCTTTTTACCATACTGAGGCCCCTCCCTTCCCCAAACCCCGTCCTCCCATGACTCCGCCTCCCAAATCTCCAGGTATTTCCCAACCCAGATCTGTCAGCCTTACTTGTACGTGACCCTGCTATTTTGAGGTTGGCTCCTCCCCCTCCTCCCCTGGATGAATCACAAGCGGGAATTAAGATTGCAGGGGGAAAGATCAACAACCTCAGATATGCAGACGATACCACTCTAATGGCAGAAAAGGAAGAGGACCTAAAGAGCCTCTTGCTCAGGGTCAAAGAGGAGAGCGCAAAAGTGGGCTTGAAGCTCAACATCAAGAAAACTAAGATCATGGCATCTGGCCCCATCACTCCTTGGCAAATAGAAGGGGAAGTCGTGGAAGTAGTGACAGAATTCACGAAAAAGCGCGCACTGCTTCGGACTGCGGCTTTTTGCGGCTGCACGTCCCGTCGGGCTCCTAGCCGCGCTGCGTCGTCTCGCATCTGCGTCGCCTGGCTCCGCCTCCATCTGCTTTGATCGTCGCCTCCTCGGATAACCGATGCCGCCATGTTCTTTCCGCCGCCGCCGCTTTCTCTCGCTGCCGCCGACAATCGCTGCCGCTTCACTTGCTGCCGCCGACAATCCTTCCTGGCACAGAACCAGGAGGAAGGGTGCTCCCTGCCTACTAAGGCAGGTACCCATTTCTCTACTTGTAATTTACTTTCGAGCCACTGGGTTGGCGGGAGCTGGGACTGGGGGCCGGTAGCTCACTCCGGCCGCGGTGGGGATTCGAACAGCCATTATGGCTGTTCGCTATAGAAGTTAATAGCAGGCGTTGTACTGCCTGCGCCACCGCTCCCTTTTTTGTGACAGCAGCCATGAAAATTAAAAGACGCCTGCTCCTGGGGAGGAAAGCGATGGCGAACCTAAACAGCATGATAAAAAGTAGAGACATCACCCTGCCAACAGAAGTCCACATGGTCAAAGCAATGGTATTCCCAGTAGTCATGTATGGCTATAAATTGGACTATAAGGAAGGCTGAGCGCTGAAGAATAGATTCTTTTGAACTATGGTGCTGGAGAAGACTCTTGAGAGTCCCTTGGACTGCAAGAAGATCAAATCAGTCAATCCTAAAAGTAATCAACCCTGACTGTTCCCTGGAAGGCCAGATAATGAAAATGAAGCTCAAATACTTTGGCCACCCAATGAGAAGGGAGCACTCCCTGGAGAAGACCCTGATGCTGGGAAAGATTGAGGGTCAAAGAAGACGGGGACGGCAAAGGACGAGATGGTTAGACAGTGTCATCGATGCAACGAACATGAAATTGAGCAAACTTCAGAGGACAGCGGAAGACAGGAGGGCCTGGCGGGATCTGGTCCATGGGGTCGCGAAGAGTCGGACTCGACTGTGCGACTGAACAACAACAAACCTCCCCCTCTGGCAGCCATTTTTGTGGCGGCACCCATTATGCTGTCTCGGAATTCCAAAGAGGCCCAGAGGCTCCGAAAGGTTGGGGAAACCCGCTACAGGCTGATGCCCTCTGTTGCCAGCCTGGATTCTTTCATCTTTCACAGTCCATTCAGCGAAAGAATTCACCTTCTGATCCCAGCTCATTGCCTTTCCCCCTGTAATCTTAAAATGGGGGTATCTGTCTTTCCTTTTTAAAAAGATTGGGAAGGTTGGCAATACTGATTCATTTAAACATTTGTTCATCACCATCGTGGATTTTTATTTTAGAAATTAAAATGGATTTTAAAAATAGCAGCAGAACCGCTGTAGGGAGGGAAGGCTGGTTTGTGGTGTTCTGGTTACTAGCCAGTGGGTGCTGTGCAAATCCAGTCCCTGCTGTGAATGGGCAGAACTGGTTTCCCACGAGCTCGGTCTTGGTTGGATAATTGTGTATGACTTGCTGGGTGTGCGCTCAGACAATGTACAGCTGAACGCACCCCTGTTTACTCATGGGGAGGTGGGGGGGGCTGTGTGGGTCCTAGAATGTTCCTTCCGGCCACAGGATGTTCCTGCTTGAAGCAGGGTGCAAAGCCCATTCATGCCACTGTTGTGTTGCAGGCATCGCGGCACTGACGTTCGCCCTCCTGATGTCTGCCAGGATGGGGATCTTCCAGGAGACCTTGTACAAGCAGTTCGGCAAACATTCGAAAGAAGCCTTGTTCTACAATGTAAGCACACGAAACCCTTCGTACAGGTAGCCCTGTCATGGATCTGGAATGTGGAGGGCTGCCCTCCTCCTCGTTCTCAGCTTTTCCCTGCCCAGCTACTGAGCACTATCTCATGCTTGACCTTGTAGTCTCCAGCTGCATTTACTCTGCTGGGAAAGTTGACGGCTTTAGGCTTTGCCCCCTTGCTTTTGCCCGCCCGCGCGAACCATAACCGTTGCAGTTGGGTGGTGGGATTTAAACGCCCTGAATGGATTATTCTGCTGCATCGCCTGTTCTGGGTGTGTTAACGATGGGGTGCGGCCAGGGGTCATTTCGTAGAAAAAGAGGTGCAGGAGCTCATTAGCATAACTCATTAGCATATGCCACACCCCCTGACACCACCGGAAGTGTGTCAGAAGGCAACACCCACCGCTCAGGCGCCACTGGACTGTTTTGGATTGCTTAACATCTCCCGTTGTTCTTCTGTCCGACAGCACGCCCTGCCAATCCCCGGCTTCTTTCTCCTGGCTCCTGACATCTACAGGCACGCGGTGCTCTTCACCCAGTCCGGTAAGTTGGTGCTTTTCAAGACTTGGCCTGTATTGCTTGGATATTTTATTTATTTGTTTGGATGTATATCCCGCCCTCTCCTTAACGGGCTCAGGGTGAGTTCCGACAGTATAAAACACAATGCGATTAAAACCACGTTAAAACAATATAAAATAATATAAAAAACAATATATAACTCCTAAGTGCCATACAACTCTAATAAAGACCGGATGCATTAGTGGTTGATGGTATTAAAGACTTAAAGTTTTTTAAAAGATCTTTTAAGATTTCGAGATCTCAGGATCCAGGCTGCAGGTGGAGGCCAGCCTGAGAAAGGGGGCATCCGCTGCCTCAACCTGAAGTCTGGTGGAAGAGCTCCGTCTAAAGGGGACGCCCACTGCCTCAACCAGAAGCCCGGTGGAAGAGCTCCGTCTAAAGGGGACGCCCACTGCCTCAACCAGAAGCCCGGTGGAAGAGCTCCGTCTAAAGGGGACGCCCACTGCCTCAACCAGAAGCCCGGTGGAAGAGCTCCGTCTAAAGGGGACGCCCACTGCCTCAACCAGAAGCCCGGTGGAAGAGCTCCGTCTAAAGGGGACGCCCACTGCCTCAACCAGAAGCCCGGTGGAAGAGCTCCGTCTAAAGGGGACGCCCACTGCCTCAACCAGAAGCCCGGTGGAAGAGCTCCGTCTAAAGGGGACGCCCACTGCCTCAACCAGAAGCCCGGTGGAAGAGCTCCGTCTTACAGGCCCTGCAGAATTGTAATAGATCTCGCAGGGTCCCACAGGGCCCTGATCTCACACAGGAGCTCGTTCCACCAGGCAGGGACCGGGGCCAAAAAAGCCCTGGCCCTGCTCAAGGCAAGTGGGTGTCGCTGGGATAGCTCCCTCCCAAGCGCCACCCTCTATCCCCGACCCTGGAGGAAGAAGGTCAGCCACTGCAAGGCAAGCCCCCGTGTCCCAGTGTCGGCGAGGCGGCGGTTTAACACATCCTGGTCAACCGTTAGCTAAGAGCACCAGCTAATACAGGAAGGGCTCAAAAGCCAGGATTGCACTTCTCAGATGCAGTTTGTCTAGATAACATGCTGCCAATCGAGCAGTTTTTCCTGATCTAATCATGCAGCATTAAACAGTCGAGGCTTAATCCGGGGCTGTGGCTTCTCCTCTCAGACCTCAGTCGCTGCCTTCACTGTTTGGGGACAGAACGGGAAGCAGTGATGGACCGGCATCCTTCCTTATCTCAAGCTAACCAGAAGCGGCCTCTGATCAGGGAAGAGTAACAGTCAATCCCCCTTTAGCACCCCCCCCTTCAGCTCCCTGGTTACATTTCCCCAGTTTTGAAAGAATGCTTTGTTTTCATGGCTAATATAGGGTTGCCTGGCAACCAGTGGGAGGGTTGTGGGGAGGCACAGTGTTGCAGGAGGATACTTCCTGGAAGTTCGTACAGGAAGTGATACATGGTACCTCTAGGAATTGCCGGGAGCTCTATGGAAAAACCTTAAGAGTCCTGGTGATTCCTAGAGGTACCCTGTGACGACCCCTTTACTGGGGAGGTCTGGTTTTACTTTAAAAGTGTTCTTTATGTTTTGTTCTACTGTGTATATCCGGCTGCCACCAGGAAATTTAAGGCTTTCCAAACCTTCATACTATAATATTTCTGTCACTGGGTAGGTAGGTCGAGGTTTTAGGCTTTCATGAGGGTCTATGTGTTTGCTGAGAAATTATTTCTTTCAGAGCTGGCAGACTTAAATAAAAGAAGATTTATTGATATAATTCTTAAATTATAGGGTAGTACTCTGTATCTATGAATGGGTAAATACTGAACAATTCCAACTGGTTTTTCTCACACGTTTCTCTCACACAGTCAGGGATTTTGGCATGTAACTTTGTAACACTTTTTCCTTAGGCCGTATGCGTTTACTGTTTCTTTTTAACCTGTCACTCAGACTTTTTATTTTTCTCTTTAACTTTACTTCCTTCTTTCATATACATTCAACTCTTCTTCATACACAGAACTAATTCCTATATCATCCACAAGACAGCTTCTCTCTCCAACTCCAGAACGAACTCCTTAACTCTTTAACTTAACAACTGTCTTTTTCAACTGTCACTCTTCAGCTGTCAAAACCTCAAACTGTCACTCCTGGTAGACATACACACACAGCATCACTTCCAAAACCCCTCCCTCTCTCTGTCACTCCACCCTTGCCTCTTCAAGCACTCTAGACTATCACATACAACCAAACTTTAAAAAAGACACACACCCACAAACAAGGAATCGTTACATACCCCTTTGTCACTTCCTACACAAACTTCTGGTAAGTACACAAGGGCTTTCCCTCCCTTCAACTTTCTCCTTCCACCGCTTGCAGCAGTGGTGGGCAACCGGACCTGGGGATCCCCGCCCTCATCAGGGGCTCTAGGGTACTGCGATTGCCAACATACCTGACTCCAAGGTACAAAAGAGTGCTGTGAAGCTGAGACCACTGACAAAAAAAAAACTGAAAAGGAGAGGACTGTTGCCTTCTGATTCTGCTGCTGAGCTTTTCAGAAGCATCTACCTGGTCATTGCTGGAAACAACCCATATGGCTTTTGGGAAGGGGCCCTGCCTCATTGATAGAGCATCTACTTAGCATACAGAAGGCCCCGGGTTCAATCCCCGGCATCTCCAGTTAAAAAGGACCGGGTAGCAGGGGATGGGAAGGACTTCTGCCTGAGACCCTGGAGAGCCATGAAGTGGGGCCGTGGCTCAATGGCAGAGCCTCTGCTTGGCATGCAGAAGGTCCCAGGTTAAATCCCTGGCATCTCCAGTTAAAAAGGACCAGGCAGGAGGTGATGGAAAAGACCTCTGCCTGAGACCCTGGAGAGCTGTAAAGAGGGGGTGTGGCTCAGGGGCAGAGCATCTGCCTGGCATGCAGAAGGTCCCAGGTTCAATCTCCAGCATCTCCAGTCAAAAGGACCAGGCACTAGGTGGTGGGAAGGACCTCAGACTGAGACCCTGGAGAGCCATGAAGTGGGGCTGTGGCTCAGTGGCAGAGCCTCTGCTTGGCATGCAGAAGGTCCCAGGTTCAATCCCCGGCATCTCCAGTGAAAAGGACCAGGCGGGACCTGATGGGAAAGACCTCTGCCTGAGACCCTGGAGAGCTGTAAAGAGGGACTGTGGCTCAGTGGAAGAGCCTCTGCTTGGCATGCAGAAGGTCCCAGGTTCAATCCCCAGCAGCATCTCCAGTTAAAAGGACCAGGCAGGAGGTGATGGGAAGGACCTTTCTGCCTGAGACCCTGGAGAGCAGCTGCCAGCCTGAGTCGACAATACTGTCAGCGATGGAGCAAAAGTCTAATTCAGTATAAAGCAGCCACATGTGGATTGGGTAGAAATGAAAGGCGACGTGAATGGAGCTGTGAGCTGAGCGGGGGCGGTTCTCCAGCTAAGCCACCCAAGTAACTGCTTGGCTTGGGGGGGGGGGGCACCGTGAGGAAAGGGCCGATGTCCCACAAGGTCTCAGGTCACTCCCAGCTATCAGTTTGGTGTAGCCAGTTTGGTGTCGTGGTTAAGTGCGCGGACTCTAATCTGGGAGAACTGGGTTCGATTCCCCACTCCTCCACTTGCACCTGGCTGGATGACCTTGGGTCAGTCACAAGCTCTGGCACGGCTGTCCTTGAAAAACAGCAGTTTGTGTCAGAGCTCTCTCAGCCCCACCCGCCTCCCAGGGTGTCTGTTGTGGGGAGGGGAAGGGAAAGGAGTTCGTAAGCCGCTCTGAGACACCTTTGGGTAGTGAAGGGCGGGGTATAAATCCCGTCTCTTCTTCTCTCAAGAGCAGTTTCTGTCAAGAGCTCTCTCAGCCCCACCCATCTCCCAGGGTGTCTGTTGTGGGGAGGGGAAGGGAAAGGAGTT